AGCGCGCACACTGCTCGCTCTCTCTTCTCGCTCTCTCCCCTCCTTCTATTTTCCTCTCTCGCTGTTAACTTACTTCCCTCCCTCTCCAAGGTTTACCTTACAGGGGCCGGTGGCTTCTCCCTCCGTAATGCCTTAATTGCTAAAAACGGCGGCGGCGGCGGTGGCGGCGGCGGGCAAGCACCAGAACTGGTCGGTGATTTAGGTAGTTTCCTGTTGTTGGGATCCACCTTTCTCTCGACAGCACGACACTGCCTTCATTACTTCAGTTGAAATCGTCTCCAGGTACCTGTGCGCGCGGAGGCCGGGCCGGGCGGGGCATCCAGGCTCCGGTCGTGCCAGGCCTGTGGTGGCAACCTCGGCTTTCCCCGCGCAAGAACCTCGTCCCTGCTTTCTTCTCAGAGCTCTGGCAGGCTGCTGGCCTCACCCGCATCTCCACCTGGCCCCTGCAGGTACGGTCAGGTTAGCTGAGCCTTAGCGGACGCCGGGGGCGTGGTAGGAATTCTGGGCCCGGGGCCATTCAAGGTCAGGGGCGCACACTTCCATCCCGAGCTTCTCGGGCTCCTGGCCCGTGCCTGGCCAGGGAACCCGCCATTCTCCTGCAAAGCCAGGGCAGCATCAGCCCCAATTCAGGGCAGGAAATAAGAAAAGATCCCTTTGCCGGTGAACACTCCGCACCAACTAGAACGGACAAGGCAGATGGGGGCTGGCATCCTGGCCTTGTCACTTACCCTTCTCTCTTGTAGCCGCTTCCCGCTCCCAGGAGTCACCGTGGACTCTTTCCTTCCCTCTTTCCTCTTTCTTCTCTACCCTCTTTTCTTTACGTCGTCCCTTCTTTCCTTCCCTTTTCTTCAATTTTGTTTATTTTCTTTGATCTCTCTGTCCATTTCCCTCCCTATCTCCATTTCCTCTACTCTCCAGCTCTTCCTTCTGGAGGGACCTAGCTAGGGCTGGCTGGGGAAGAGCCAGGGGGAGGCTGTCTTATTTTTTCTCTCTCTCTCTGTACTCTCAAGTAGAGATCGTGTTCTGACAAAGAAGGGTTCATTGGGGCGTCTGTCGCGGGCTGTGGATCTGAGCGCAGACACGGCCTCGGTTATGATCAGGACCGGATGGCGGCGGCCTTGCGTTCCTACTCCATCGGTCAGCAACATCAGCCCAGGCGATCCGATGGGAGAGCATTCCCGAGGTTTTTGCAAGGAGGCCTTCGCCAGCTTCCCTGGAGGCCAGAGCCTGGGACCTGGGCTCAGGCTCAGCCAGGCTCTTGGAGGGCACTCTCCGGAAGCTTCCTGGGCTCTCGGGCCGCAGGTCTCAGCTCCGGCTTTAACCGCGATAAGGGGGCCTCGCCAGGGCAAAGATTGGCTGCAGTAGCTTCTATCAGGTTCAGAGTCAGGATGTTGGATATGGCATCCTTGTGCAGAAGACTGCTGGAGAAAGGGACCCTTCTAGCAACCGTGTTCCAAATAATAGGGGAAAGGAATTCTAAATTCCTGAACCATTGGGATACAGAGTCGAGTCCGTATTCCAAGTTGTGCTGGAAGCCAGTCGGAGGAGTCTCATTTTTACTGGGAGCTAAAAACAACCCCCATCCCTCCCCAGCCCCCACTCGCACCGCACCCGGGGCCTTCAGGCTGCTCAGCTTTGGGCCCGGCACTGTTCTCACTTCTTAGCCCCGGTTCTGGGTCCTGTTATCTGAAAGGCCCACACGGTGTTACCCTCAACGCCTCTGTCATTTTCAGGACCCCAGTATTGGATTTGTTTTGGAGGCCAAGGTTTTACAACTCTGGGCAAAAAGAGACAGTTTGTAACCACTCCCATTTATTCTTTATGCACACACAACCCCTTTTACTTCCAAAATGAAAGCAGACACAAAAACCTGAATGGTCTCTCCTCAAACCTCTGGGCTGAGGAGGGATATTTTTGGTTTTGGAACCCCCCCCCCCCATTTTAGGCACCAGTGAGGATCAGTTAACACTCAAGCCCTGCTAATTACTTAGTAGCTGTCCAATTTTGGGGGGCTAAGCCTATTTAAAGGACGGCCTTTCTACTTAAAAAATACTATAAATAATTCGTGTCTTCTCTGGGTACAAAAAAAAGTGGAAAAGGCAGCCCGTTTGCAGACAATTACAATTAGGAGTGAAGGTTTCCTCCGGGTTAATTTTCTTAATGAAAATCTCAGAGGTTCCCCAAACTGCGGGATATTTGGGACACCGTGGGCTGTGGAGGGGATGGGAATAGCCCGGAGGACTTTACACGGGAAGCACAAATATTAGTGCGGGAGGGCACTGAGGTGGCCAGGACCCCCTGGCCAGTGGTGGGAGTTTATTGTGTTGGTCGCTTCCCTCTTCCTTCTTCCGGAGAGGGACCCGGTTGGTCTCCCTGTGGCTTTTCAGCTGGGGGGAGAGCATGACATTTGAAGGTCCCCATTGAGGGATAGGGGTGTATCAGGGTTTGGGGAGGGGTTACTGGGACTGTTGGGGAGATTGAAGGCAAAAAAACAAGAGAATGGAAGCAGCCCAGTCCACCCGCCCGCCCTCGCCGCCAGGGAAGTGGGCTAATGAGAAACACACTCTTGCAGGCACAGTGTTCACACGTGAATTTAATTACCCCGGTTTTGGGAGTCGCTGCTTTCCGTTTGTATTTGGTGGGGTTTTTTTCTTCCTTCCAATTAACAAAGAGGCCGGGGCCCTTTAATTTACCCCTGAAAGGCTCTGGGGGGCGAGGAGCACCCTCCTCAATCTGGTCAAGCTGAGGGATGGGATTAAAGTCAAGGCCCCATGCCCCTCCCCGGGTTAATTTCTGGCCCTGGCCTTGAGCTGTGGCCGCCTTGTAACTCCGCTGAGCCGCCCGGCAGCGTGGGTTAGCCAGGTGGGCCCACCAGGGGCAGTGGCCAGGAAGGGAGGAAGGAAGGAAGGACAGAAGGAGGGGGGCCTGAAGGATTCATACTGGGCCCGGAGGCCAGCCTCTCCAGAGCGGGCCTCCTGGCTACTGAGCCACCAGGTCTCTTAGGCCGAATTCGCCTGTTATGCTGCCTCATAGGGGTTTTTTTTTGCAGCTCGGGTTAGGGGAGTGCGACTAGCAGGACTCAGCATTAGAGCCTCTGAAGTCGGAGCACCCGGCTGGGGCGCCAGCTGTGTCCAAGGGAAGGGGGGGGGTCATGGAACGCGCGGCACCAGCAGGCCCCCAAACACTGGGCCCAGCGCTGGCTGGCTGCTCCCTGGTCGGACGCTCGCTGGAGACTCAGCGGTACATTGGGAGCTGCCTGGTCACCCTGCGATCTGCGATCGGGTCAGGCCGACCCCAGGGGCCCTCCATAGGCTGTGTCCTCCGGGCGGCCTGTCCCTGGCCAGCGCGCCCCGGCAGGGCCCGCGGCGGCTCCGTTTGGGACGGCTACTGCGTTGAATTTGACTTTCTGAAGCCGTCCCGGGTAAACTCGCATCTCCGGGGACTGCGGGGATTATTTACAGGGAGCCCGCCAACCAAACACAACAGTCTAATTTAACCTTTCCAAAGTCCTCGTAAATTTTTACAACTGGGAGCCACGGCGAGGTAAACGAATCTGTTGGTCGTTCCCAACTTCCCACCAGCCTGTGTGGCTTCTGAAACAATAACTCCTTATGAAATATAAATATAGATTTAAATACAGTAGAGCGAGAATGCGATTTGGCTGCTTTTTTATGGCTTCAATTATTGTCTAATTTTATGTCGGGGGGCTCTGCCGGCCGCACTCGCACGCGGGGCCCGCGCCGGGCTGATGGCGTGATTAATTGTGATATAAAATAGTCCGCTGAAGAAGTGTGTGTCTGGTGGTGGCGGCGCGAAGGGGAGGGAGTCCAGACGCAAGGCCAGATTTGATCTTTTAATCTTCGTTGGCCACAATTAAAACAAACCCGATCGTTGAGCGCTGCGATCTCTTTGCATAAAAACATATGGCTTTTGCTATAAAAATTATGACTGCAAAACACCGGGCCATTAATAGCGTGCGGAGTGATTTACGCGTTATTGTTCTGCTGGGCGGCCACGTGACGCGCGTGGCCAATGGGGGCGCGGGCGCCGGCAACTTATTAGGTGACTGTACTTCCCTCCCCGGTGCCACCAAGTTGTTACATGAAATCTGCAGTTTCATAATTTCCACGGGTCAGGCCGGCCGGCAGGGCGCGGGGTGCGGCGATGGCCACCACAGGGGCCCTGGGCAACTACTATGTGGACTCCTTCCTGCTGGGCGCTGACGCCTCGGACGAGCTGGGCGCGGGACGCTATGCTTCGGGGGCCCTGGGTCAGCCCGCCCGGCAGGCGGCGGCACTGGCCGAGCACCCCGACTTCAGCCCATGCAGCTTCCAGTCCAAGGCGGCGGTGTTCGGCGCCTCCTGGAACCCGGTGCACGCTGCGGGCGCCAACACGGTGCCCGCGGTCTATCACCACCATCACCACCACCCCTATGTGCACCCCCAGGCGCCCGTGGCGGCGGCGGCGCCGGATGGCAGGTACATGCGCTCCTGGCTGGAGCCCACGCCTGGTGCGCTCTCCTTCGCGGGCTTGCCCTC